ATGTTGTGTTGCTTGTGTTCCTTGACTTGCTTGATCCTGACTCGTAGCCAGAATCCGAGTTGTACGTTAGTGATGATGATCTAGCTGAAGTGCTAGATGCGCGATTTTGGAATCTGTTTTCGTTCCAGAGTGGTTGGCGTATCTTCTTGCTGTCGGCTTTTCCGTCCTTGGTCCAGCAGATTTGTTGGTTCTTGTTTTCGTATGTAATATCAGTAGCGTTTTGCTCGATCAAGACATCCAGCGCGGCGAGAAACTCAGCGACGCTGGCTTGGACTTCTGTTGTAATTTCGCCGTCTTGGTCGATGGGGCGTTCATAGTGGCACGCACTGATGGCTTGCTGAATTGAGTACTCGTGTTTTAAGATGTTTTGTTCGAGTTTTTCGAGGAAGGAGATTGAAGTGCCAACACTCCCCATGAATTTGCCGAATCGTTTGAAGATTGTTTGTTGAATGTCGGCTAAGAAAAAGTCAATGTTTGCTCGAGTGTTGATGTGACGGGGGAAAAGGGCAGCGGGGAATGAGGAAATCAAAAGGGTTTCAAGATGAAAGCGAGGAAAAGGAGAGACGTGCAATTGATTTTGACTTTTGGGAGCATGAACCCGACATTGAGATTGGAAGAGACGAACACCACTAGACAACAACAGACGAACAGCAGAGAGACTCACTTCGCCATCAAGAACACGAGAGATACCTCTAAATAAACGAAAGTAAGAATGAATGGCTTGCATCCATCTCTCCCTCGTGACGATGTGTAACAAAACTTGAAGGAAGGGACAAGGTGTGCGTCACGTGGCGCGCTACCCGCGATCCGCTTCCCCTTTTCAGGCTCAGCTAAGCGAGCCTTCCAAATTCGACAAAGTCCAAACTCAAAATGAGGCATCTGCGTCATCGAGATAGGGCAAATCACTCTGCTCCTACCCTCGCGCACCCAGCGAAGAGTCACTGGCTTTGGCAGCTGCAAAACCGAAGAAGCGAGGATGCAGCAGAGATGCAGGACAGTACGGACGAAAAGAACACGGAATAGGAGGAAAGCAAGGAGTACAGTAACTAGCATAAAGTTCCCGTGATTTGCTGTTTTTACACCAAAACTCGCCTTATTCCACGCTGCGCATCACAATAACCACCTTTTAAAAATACACAAGAATTAAAATCCTAAGTATTTCGAACAATTCTAATTAAATTGCTTTCTCGGATTGTATTTCATTTAACATCTTAATAGAGAAGTAGAGTGTTAAACTCAGAGAATGCAATATTTAAGCGAGTTTATTAGCGAATTGCATTATTTTACTCAACCCTTTTATTACTAGCCCAAAATTTACTGAGAATCTACTTGCCACTTTATTAAAACTTAGAAGAGATATGCGTAATGCTCTAATTAAAAGATCCCGCGACTCAGATATCTAGTAATTAGGCGGAGATGTGAGTAAACTTTGAAGTGTTACTTGTAACTTTTGGTAGTAAAACGGCAAATCACGGGAACTTAACGGAGGTGACTGTACGTACGCTTTGGTGTTGGTGATAGCGATGTTTCTCTTGATGTTGGTGGTGTTCGCCAGTTTGTTGAGGTCATCGCTCTGGAGCTTGAAGCGCTCGAGCGGCTTCTTAGTTGGTGTTGCTTCATGTTCGAAGACATTGTGGTGTTTGTGTTGTTCTTTGGGGGCTCAGCGCGCACTTGACTTTTGTCGGCGGAGCTTATGAATTGATGTCGGCTATCGAAATCGACTTATCGTGATCTTGAAGAGCTGTCGAAACCCTTGCTTCTTCTGTTCTCGTTACTATTGCTCGAGTCGTTTGAGGAGATGCTGATGTTTGTTTGTTGCTTGAAAATGTATGATTGAGAAGTGCCTCGCTTGTAGTATCTTACGAGTTACTATAGGTGATAGAGAAGTAGTGACCTTTGATGTGCATGAAGGAAGAAGAAATGCAAAAAATGTGTGAGAACTAGAGGTTATAAAGGAGAGAACTGAGCTAGATGGAACTCAGTATAGCTGGAGCCCCTACTGAGATGAGTCAATTTCTTGTGCAAAACTTGGCAATACCATACTCTGGAGTCGTAAGTCTGAGGCTGAGCAGATATGGGAGCCAATGGAAAGGGGGACAGTTTCCTAGCGTTGGCCGTTCGGAGCTTCATACTAGCAAATATACGCAAAAATGGGGTAGCTCATGCTGGTAGCTTGGGAGTATGGAAGCTTCGAGTTGCGAAATAATGCCACGATGGCCTCAAAATACCCTCTAAGATCAGTGAGTCAGATGGAAACCACGGTTCATTGCTCTGACAGGAATGATGAACTCAGAATGATGATATCAGAGGAATCCAGATAGCAAGAGCGATGGGAACACCGGAACTGATTCTTTGGGCATCGCTTGGATCACCGACACTGCAAAGAATTGATACGTTGGAACTTGTGACAGCCTGATGGACGGGCCACTGCGATGGCGATAAATTGGGGAAGCGTTATGCAGTCTTGTTGCGAGATTTCCTGGAAAGCGAGACATCTATTGGTGGCAAGAGCGAGTGATGACTAGCCTCAAACAAACTTTACCAGAGTCGAGCGACCACGGGAACACAACAATGACAGACAGTATCTGCACGTAGAGCATTTGGGGACAACTCCATATTGTCATGGAGATTCGGAGCAGAGACCACTACGAGAAACACGACATGGCTGCTCAGATATTCAATGGAGGTCTTCCTAAGCTCCATCATTGGTCAACAAGTCTCGACCTCGAGTGGAAGGAGTGAAAGGGGGGGCGCACGTGACTGTCCAACGATTCTGAAACCCGACAATGGCGACCAGTATCAACTTGAGGACGGGCCCAGAGATACCAAGACACTACGCCAAGCCAAGTATTCGTCAAAGTAGAAAAATAACCTGGCCTACTACTGTCATGCACTGGAGTATTTCCCGGCAGCACGCCAATGAAATAGAGTTTACGCCAGAAAATATCTTGTTAGTTGAGACATGGGAGCACATAGCGGTGCCACCGGCCCCTTAAGGGGGTGGGGTGGCCCCACCCCTCTCTGGATATATATAGGTCTTCTGTAGCCCTTTTCACCACCAATGCAGTCTTTACCAAGCAACTGACATATCTCCTCCGTTGGTCCCAGACAATGAAGGCGACTCAGATTTAGCAGAGTTCTCTACCATCACCGAATTCAATGGGTATCGGCAGAAAGACAGGTTCGACTATCGTTGAAAAGCGACCAACTTGCCCCAGCTTGGAAGGGACGAGGCGGGCAGCATGGGCAGAAACATTCGGCAAGAACGAATCGAAAAGAAATCCAAAGGCTCCTCCCTGGCGACGAAATCGTTGAGATGGGAAAGCTACTTCTACTAGCTTCAACTGCCTTCAGCTTTACTTGACTACAAGATGAGGAAGGAATCATGGGTCAACATTGCGAGACAAAAAATGGCAACGTCTACATGACAAAACAAAGCCACCCGATAACAAAATGTCCAATCCCCACATCAGATTCAAAAATAATTTCAATATCACAACGACAAAATGCAAAGAAATACGACCCCAGCGGCTGAGAGCAGTTCGTTATTATCTCATTAGAGGTACTTACATTTGCACCACCTGGACCCCGTCACTTGACAATAGCTTTTTAATAGCATGCACTGTGCTGAATTAAAAATATATATCAGTGTGCACTAGCTATCGCCACTGCTTGGCCAGTACTGAGCCCTGGCAAAGGTAGAAAGCATCGATTCTTATAGGCCAGCATCTCGAAATGGACTGGATTCTCTCAAGCGCTTCCATCGACCTCCTCAAATAAGCTAGGCCACCAAAATTTACACCGTCATCCTATATAGACCTAAATAAGCATTTCTGTTCAGAACAGTAAGACTGGTGGCGTTCGGAGGTGTACCGTACTCCGTACTCCTTGAGCTGGGCCCCCACAGTTTGATCAACCCCCTTCAAAAATCCGGGTCGCTCCCGGGTTTTCTGAGAACTACCATGGTACCGCTGGCAGCGGCTGAGTTTTGCTTCTTGTTTCTATTGTTATAGGAATATTTTTGAGTCGTGCTACCTTTTTTTGTCCTTTACATGCTTTTTGGTCTTTTTCGGCAGGTGCGAGGGGCAGATTTCAAGCGAGGAACTTAGCTATAGCGAGGGATATACTTCAAAAAAGCGACCCAACGAGTTCGAATTCCTTAGCACAAGCAGAGAATCTGCGAATGAGAAATTAGTAGACTACAAGAGGACGATTCCGTACGCTCGCCGAGTGGCCGTAGCATTGTGCTTAATAGCGCAGCGTCGATTAAAGAAAGACTACCTGTTTTCCTCTATAGGGTCCGTGACCTTTTAGGTGCCACTCAACTGTAATACTCCAATGTGCGTCTAACTCTGTGTTTCACTTTTTATCCGTGTCTCTGAGCTCTTGAGGGCTCTATTGACGTCCTTGGAGATGAATGAGGTGCTCACTCAGAAAGTCACGTGGGACGTTTCGCAACAACTGGAACTTCTCGATCGGGGTACATGCCCGCCGTCCGCTTGAAGTCTTGAAGGCTTCGTACGTGTCACGAGAAACTGTGGACCAAAAGCGTGTTGAATGTGTATGCGTCTCCACGTCTGTCGAGTTTCAATGTCCCAGTCTTACCCACTTTTCTCAGGCCGTGCAGCAAATCCGATCGAGAGTCATGACATTTGCTAACGAGATACATCCTAGATACAAACAGAATACAGAATTACGGGAGGTTAGGAGTCCGGGGCGGTGAATTGTCTACTCGTGGTACTCGGGAAGAGATGGGTATCAGCTTTCCCCACTTCCTCATCGGATAAACCACATCTCGCTTGTGAATGGCCCACTTCGCACAAAGGTGAAAAGAATGTCTAAAAATTGCCTTCAAGTACTCGAAAGTAACACGCTCTCAAGATCTCCTGCTATTATAAGCCAAAAAAAAAAAAAAAAAAAAAAAAAGAGAGATTGCAAAAAATAATTTGAACTTCGCCAAGCCACAACCTCCTTCGACGACAGCAAGATGCAAAAGAATTTGAACAGAGTGGGACTCGAACCCACGCCTCATACGAGACCAGGAAACTGCTGTTAAGATAGACCTTAACCTGGCGCCATAACCAGCTCGGCCATCTGTCCTTGGAGAGAATAATTGCATATTTAAATATATATGTGCGTTCGAGAAGCCCGTACCGAGCCTGCCCACTACCGGAAGAACTACGGCTCTCTCTTGAGCGACTCACATCCGGCTAGCTTCGTTGCATTTAGTTAAGAAAGAACAGTGATTAAAGGCGCTGGGCTAAACACATCATGGAAGCCAGCAACATAGGCCAAGCACTCACTGAATTTAAAGCAAAGAGAAACTTCATGCAGGTGTGTCGAATGCAAGCAGCAAACCCAGCATGGGAAGCAATGTATAGCGCCGCGTTGATAGACCCTGATAGAATACAAAGCTAAGATCAAAAACAATTTTTAGACGTCTGGTATCGAATTCCAACAAGGGATGAAATCAAACTCGGGGCTGACTTCCACCTTCCAAACTCCATCCTCGTAAATGCTCAAGAAATCCTTCCAGCTCCGACCCCATGCTTCATCGCTCGTGGAATATGGTACGAAAAAGCAGAGGCAATTGCAAAAATGACTCGCCTGCTAGATAAATCAAGATAACGTTGAACCCTAGAATAGTATCCCAATACACCATTCGAATTCCCTTCTCCCGCTATGCCATCCCATTGAATTGCCAAACCTCGCGATAGTCGTCGCAATGTAGAAAGAATTGTTGAGCACATAATCTGTCGCTTAGAATCTCCTTTAACGCATAAAAGATAGCTTGTATCCCATATTTCACGGAGGCTGCTTTAAAGATTGCTGAGGACATTTGTAGAATGCCCGGTGCTTGGGATGCCCCCGATCTAAGCATCGACCTGAGCCTCATGTGAGTCCATACTTAAGATATAGCTTCTCCTCACACGCCAGTATGTTTTGACTTTCACGTCCACATAGCCATCATCCGACTCGCTATATTTGAACTTGGGCTCGTCCGTTAATTTGAGGGAGCTTAATGACTTCCTCAGCTTTTCCTCCATCGCAGATTCGAAGAGGCTTACGTGGCCCGAGTCGCGAACGTTGGAACGAGCTAATGTGTTTGTAGGATTGACAGGTTGATTACTCAGAGGCTTTCGTGTTGTGACTTGAGGCGTGTTAGAGGATGAACTTGAGACTGGTACCGAGAGATCGATTGGAGATTCGTGATGATCATGATAGATACCGATAGGATGGTGGGTCTCGCTCAATCTTGGTGAGCGAGTGCGTTGAGTCTCACTTCCAAGCTGACGCCGAGCTCTTTTTCGTCGCTGATCTGTAGAATATCCATATGGGCTGATTGCGACTATACTACTGTCTTGCATTTGTATTGGATGCACAGAGGGCTGGTTGCCTCTTCTGCGAAAGGCGGGAGGGCTCTGTGGTGGACTTGGCGGGAGCATGTGTCGAGGTGCTTTAGTACGGCGGAGAGCTGTGCCATTGTGGGGGTTGTCCGCCACGGGAAAGGTAGGTTCAACTTGTTGTATAGATGTGCCCTCAAAATATTGCTCATCAGTAGAGGCAGAAACTCCATGGCGGGGTGGGCTCATGGCGAGAGACTTGGAAGCCACGTCGGATAGTCGCTGGTTGTTGAATGATTGAGGAGCGTGAGTTGCATGAGATTGAGATGCCAGCACAGACCCATCCGCTCCTTCATTCATTGCCACCTCAGTGACTTGCCCATCTGATGCAAGGTCGACACTTTCATCAACCTTATCCACGCTTGCATCAAAGTCCATATTCAACAAGCTTTCATAGCTTTCATAGCAATCTGGGGGAGCCCATTCATGACTACCAGCAGGACTTCTGGTGGTGTCGTCCATCATATCGCTTTCAGTCCCATAATAGATATAGTGTTCCAATGGCAGACCAGCTTGTGGTACGGGATTATGTCTAGCAGGATAGCGCGCTCTGTCAACTTGCATTGTTTGTTGTGATTGAATACCCTGGCTGAACCCGAGACAGTTTTGCTGGTAGGGCAAGCCAGTATCTCCAACTGCTGATGGTGAAGCGTCTTGATATGAAAGACATTGCTGGTTGAGGTGGCGGGGTGGTGGTAGAAATTGCCTAGATGAAGGATGAATGGTAGGATCATGACCTTGGTTTCCCAGAGTATCATGTTGAGGTGAGCTTTGAGAAGCTACTTGATAATCGTGAGAGCTACGTTCGACGAGCCTAGGCCTGGTTGTGTTCTGAATTTGTGGTTGTTGGACGCCATATCCTTGCTGCGAAAAGCTGTTGGACCCCTGTTGCTGACTCCCACCAGATTCATGTGGAGCCTTATAATATTGTTCGATCTGGGGATAGGCCTGCGAACCTGTTTGTGGGAGGTTGTTGGATTCTCGTGCGTATCGCAAGTTGCTCTGCCTTCGCCCACTAATCGCCGACCTGGCATCATGTCCTTCATCAGGCCAATCATCGAAGTTCCGCTTGTACCACCCTTTCACTGTGTTGTACTTTTTCCTGTATAGAGTAGGTCAGACTTTGTCCTCTTCTACAATGGTATCATATGGAAGTACTGACTTGTTCCTAAAACCCTCCCGGGCCAGTCTGGCACATGTCTTTTGTGGCGTCAACCCAGATTGTCGTAACTCTGTGGCTCGGGGCAATAATTGGACCCATACACCCTCGAACTTGCTCATGGGTAGATTGTTGAAGATGACCTTGGGGGAACAGTAGGGATAACAGGATGGTCAATAATGGCGGCGTGCTTCGTGATCAATTCGGAAAAGAGTGTGTGCCGCAGAAGGCTAGGACAACGGTTACTAGCCCAGGGGAAGTGCGTATCGCATGCTGTATGGTCGTCTAGAAATCTAGCCTTCAGGAGAGAGGGTAGCCGAGGTGAGTGCAGATACTCGAGGACCCAAATAATCTGCGATTGGTAACAAAGGCTATGGCCCAAAAGAACGTTGTGTCGATTGTGCTGGCAGGCAGGCGGCTTGCTGGGAACGAGTACCGCAGAACGAACGGACAGTACAGTGGTGTTAAGTGGGAAGCAGAGCGAGAAAAATGGAAAGACAAACAGAAGACGCCGGAGACGTGCTGCCAGGTTTGGCGGTCATGATGAAAAGGGCAAGGCTGACTTCACTCGGTGAAGTCTGAAGCCTGAAGTCCGAAGGAGTTTCAAGCAACTTCAGTTCCTGGGGCGCGCTAGCACCCCTCAAATATAATGACTAATATATAAATAATATCTCCACTCATTAATGATGGTCCTTAGTGGGGATTCTCACTAGTCAGACTTCTCTCTAGCGTAAATGATTAAATAACCTTAATCAACGATCAGATCGCAAGCTTCAACACACGACACGACACATAAGGAACCGAGGCAGCGAAATCATGAAACTGATCTTCGTGGCTCCTCCTGCTACTGGCTGGCGCTAGTCTGCCCCAGCGGCGTTCTTGTGCGGATCGTGTTCTACCTTAGTCTTCGCAAATGTCGGCATTAGAATCCGCTCTCGGAGCGGTGAGCCCTGAGCTGGTGAGCCGGGCTGCGATCATTGTGCCGGGATGAGCTCCTGGGCCATGTCCTCGAAGCTTTTGGGAAGATGCGGCCCGCAGAAGATGGTATTGGTCGAGTCAGCAAGGGCGGGGTTGTAGTCCAGTTTGACTCGAGAGGAAGTATGCCATGTCCCTAGGAGACTACTTCAGGCGGCTCCAATTCGAAGTTTTGTTTACTGTAATGTGTTCGTAAATATCTATGTAAGCCTTCCCGACCAAGTGTACTGTGGAGGCGACTGCAGTAAATCCGAATCACTGAAGTTTATGCAGACCCTCATCCGGACGACAGTTCACAGGCACGACGTTTGTGCGAGGTCAGAGGCGCTTGGAAGGTAGTGGTTCCGTCAACAGGCTGGTGGAAGTGTCACCTCACTCGTTGCAAGGCCGTCCCTGACTTTGATGCACAGAATTAAAGTTCTAGATGCGAAAGGAGACTAACCCTACCACACGGGTCGTATGCTCGCGCACGGGCCCTGTCATGGGCCGGTAGTGAGACTTCTGGATGCCTCAAGGCACCCGGGAATGAGGCTCAGAACAAGTTCTAATACGTTCTTCCTACGCTATACGAAATCCGAGGAAGGCTCGCTGAAACTGCAATCTACCATTCACTAACTGCTTCCAGGCCTACGTCACCAAGAGTGCCGCATGAAAAGCACTGAACTCAGCACGAGACACCACACCATCCCCGCCTGTCCCGAGCATTTTGGGCCGAACAATTTTAATCTAGATAAGCATATCAGTGCGCCATCCAGGATCTCATAACGGCCCACTGAATGCGGCCCGGGTAGCTGCAGCACTGCGGCTCGGGTGGGATGACCGCCAAAGGCCCCTCAACACGTAGAAATGGACGAGAGTACAGTACGAGTAGTAGTATCGGAGATTGAAGCCCCAGATCACGGGTGCGACTTTACAGATCAATCGACCAGCCACGACAGAACAAGAGCATGCTTCTTTCAGCCCGTCCAGTTCCTCCCAGAGCTTCCCTCGAGGTTCGCGATCGTCGCTCCAGGTCCGAGGTGGTACGAGATGGTACGAGGTGGTTCCGTGTCTGTGCCCGTTTGCATGAATCAAGACCGAAAATGGCTAGCTAGGTAGGAAGTGACATGGAGAGCTCCCCCTGCACGTTTCAGATGAGCACTTCTTGCGCGTGGCATGGAAGATCAACGACAAAAATTCCCGTCGGTAGTAATTTCTTGGCAGGAAACCGTATCAGTATGGAAGTACCTCCGCACCCCGTATCAACACCCAACATGTCAGATCTCAAGCCAGATATGCACCACCCTTCGAAAGCTTTACCTTCTGGCCGTGCTCCGGCCTGATTGCCGACCCGAAAGCCATCGCCTTCCAGGCTCGGCCACGGCATGTTCCGTACGGGAAGAGTCGTTGACCTTTACGCTACTTCTACAAGAATGCCCAAAAGAGCCAGAGTATGACATGGATCTCGAAAATCTCGTCTATGGATGCTCTCCGTCTTAGATCCCAAGGACGATCATACCCACATCAGAATTTCCCGAGCAGGCGTGGAAACTTCACCCTTGCAAATATTAATGATCGTGCGT